TTTCAAAATGTTTATAAAATTGCAAATGAATATCTTTGAACATTTTTCAACTTAAATTGTACTTTGTACTTATTTATGGGGTACAGTATCAAAATTCAATACATGTGTGTCATGTATAATAATTAGAGAACATTATGTTAAGTGAAATAAGTCAGGCAAAGAAAGACAAATACTACATTCATTTGTGGAATTTTAAAAATTGTTGATAACCATGAAGGAGAGTAGAATAGAATTTACTAGAGGCTAGAAACAGGAGATGAGAGAGAGAAAAGTGAAAGATGATAGGTACTCAACAGAGTTAGGTGAAAAATAACTCTTACCAAATATCCAGACAGGGGGGAAAACATATGCCATTAACCAAGAGTTAAATGAAAATATTCTTTAATAAAGTCATATTATCATGTTTACTTAGCTTTTAGAAGAAAGAAATTAAAAAATAATGGAGACAATACAGTATCTTACAGATTCTCTCTAGTGATAATACTGTAGGTTTACTTTATATAAAATTGAGAAATAATTGGGGCATCTTTTCCGACTTTGAGATATAAAGAAAGGAAATAAAAATTGAGTAATACTGTTTTGGAACACCTAAAATAGATCTGGAGGCCACTGCTAAACCAAGTCTTAGGCATTTTTTAATAACTAAACTTTTGAACCAGGGTATACTTAAACTACCAAATGTACAAAAACAAGTCAAACCACCAATTCCCTGGAGCATTGTCTGCTAACTTTTACAATATTACATTCCATTTCTGAGAACTACCCAACAACTGAAAATAGTCATTTAATTCCTTCTTTACATGATGACTTAACTTTTGCCAGAACCAGTCTGAACTCCTGAAAAACAAATGATGTAGCCACCTTCTTTTGTGGTTCTAAGCCTTCAATGCTACTACCATCTTACAAAACTTTGGAGCACAGCTCAAGAATGCTGTGAGTCCACGTTTTCCAGGTTGCCATCTATCTTTATGAGCTGAAATAGTTTTAACTTTTTTTATCCTTGATCAGGCTGTCTTCATTTAGAGGGTTCTCAGAGGCCTTCATGGTGTACCTTGGCTTCTAAATGTTTCCTTATAAGTCCAAAGAAGAGACATTTATAAGCCTGAAATCTTACTTTTATCCATTCCATTATAAAAGGGGCCCCAGTTTTGTATTCCAAACCTCATATATTGGCTATTTTCAGTGGTCAGAGACTACTGCATACTCAGGTTTCTTTGGGTAAAGAGAGTAGTCTTTCCCTCATCAGGTTATTTGTATAAAACAAGGAATCTGGAAAGATGAACAGAAATAAATAAATGCTTAATTCTATTATTTTGATCATTATGGTAGGTAACTAAAAGTCTTTCTTCACTTGATAGTGGTGTACAAGAGAGGAAGAAAACTTTCTACTGCCACTTCAGTTATTCTACTTAGCCTGAGGTCCACCTTTCCTCCTAGTGATCTTCTGAGTGTTAGGTGTTCAAGTCAGTTTAAATGGAGACCTGCCTTGAAGATCTCCTGAGTGGACTACAGGTAGGCTTCGTAAGGGACCTCAACCCAGTCTGATTTACAAACATAAATGAAACTTAATCTGAGCTATTTCTTGTAAAATCCATTAAAGAAATGCCACAGTCTGGCTGGGCACACAATCACGAGCCACCACACAGCTTGTAGATTCAAACAGCAACTCTTTATTCCCGAACTCACACCAGCCGTCTACAATCACGTTCTGGGGAAATCCAAGTTCTCTGCCCAAATCCACGTTCTCTCCCAAATCCCCCTCCACTGGGCTTCTATCTCCAAAATATATACTGTCTGAATCCCGTGAGAACTCAAGGGGAACTCAGGCAGCAGGATACGCCCTATTCCCAGCAGGAATAATCTTAAACCTTAAACCTGGAACCTAAACTGGGAACGCCCTAAACAAGATTATCTTAAAACCGGGAACACCCTAATCTGCCTTGGTCCTTGAGCAAGGTCACTTACATTCAATGTCATTGCAACATGTCAGCAACATGGGGTACGCTGGCAAGGAAATTGTCATACCTACTTGGCTAATGGCTCCCAGCAAAGAAAAACATAGAAATCAGAAATAGCCAACAACATAGATGACTAAAGAATTTACAATGAGATAGAACAAATAAGAACAAATATTTATTTTGATTTACTTCTGTGTTTGTTTCATTAAAATCTCTCTTGTATTTCCTCCTTAAAACTCCTGAACCACTTCTAGTTTGGGACTGCTTGATACAAGAATCCTTCTCTGCTCAAATGAAATCTATAACTTTATTGTTCCTCGGTTTACCATTTTGCCATTCTAACAAACATAAAGGCTGACAAGCAAATAAAAGTGGAGTTTTATAATCAGTAAAAATGTCAAATATAGAAATATGGAGTTAAATAAAGTTTCTTGTGCTACAGAATATTAAATGATTTACAGCAATGCTCCATTTGTATATTTGTAAAGCTTTGAAAAGAATGACATTTGCCCAAATCCCCTATCATTTGTTAGATTTACATAAAGCACTAGCTTAAGCAGTTCGATATTGAATGTGACTTATTTGTAGTAGCAACTTCATACTTCAATACAAAATGAGAGAAAACCTCTGTGCTCAGCATTAACCATTGAGGAATTGTGTCTTTTTGAGTGTTTGTAGTGCTTTATACTACCCATTAACTCAATACCTGTCATCAATTAGAAAGGGTAGTTACAGTCTAAAGCAGATTTCATTTTCCATTATATTGGAATGATTTATTCCTAATAAGGTTGGCAGTCTCCCTTATACTAAGTTCATTCAGAACAACTTGTAACTGTAAATCTTTCCTCCAAGACAATCTTACTAAAATTAATCAACAAATTAATGAAACTAGATGCAAGCACAAACATTATGAAGCACATAATATGTATCCATGCCATACTGTATCAATCCTAGATATGAATAATCAATAGCTCTTCAAGACCTTTGATTACATAAGTGTATTTTGTTGGGCTACATTTATATGAATTACTTTTCTTAATTAATTTCCCTACTTAGCTAATAAAATGTAGAGTTCAAAATTTTGTAGCTATAATATTTTAATTCATTAAACTATTTTATTTCTTTTTAGTTAAAAATAAAATTAAGGAAAAAATGCCATAATTTGAAGATTCATAGAATTTATCAACAATAGATAAGTATCTCATGCATTTGTTTAAAAATCTATGAAACAAAACTTAGTAAATGAAAAACTGAAATGGCCATCATAATCATATATTGAATATCTGTGTGCCCTACAATTCATATGTTGAAATGCTAATCCCCAATGTGATGGTATTTGGAGGTGGGATCTTCAGGATGTAAGGAGGGTTAGACTAGGTCATGAAGATAAAATCTCAGGATGGCATTAATACACTTGTGATAAGATGAAAGAACCAGAACTCTTTTTCCACTCTGTGGAAGGACACAGGAATAAGGCATCCTTTCTACAAACCAGGTAGAAGGTCCTCATCAACAACCAAGTTGATTGTATTTTGATCTCAGACTTCCCACTGTTTATAAATATGAGGTATAGATTTCTGTTGTGTAAACCACCTAGTATATGAATGTTTAACTTATTGCAGCCTGATCTAAAACAATAGTATTGGCCCCAAATCTTTAAAGTTTTTGATATTAATGCTCGCAGTCATAAAATTCATCATCCTCTTCTAACACTAAAAATATTAAAAGAATCAAAGTGGTTCATTAGGATTAGGTATCTTTTATAAATAAACTATACCACTGATTCCAGTAAGTTTTCTAAATAGAATATCTTTTCACCTCAGTGAATCAGTGCCCTGATTCAGTACCCCAGTAAGTGAATTCTGTTTTGGAAATTGAGATAGTTAATGCTGCAAACTCATTACACATTGCTTTTTTAATCCAATTCATAAGCCCCTGTAAATTGGAAACATGTTTTCTGAAAATGCTGTCCCCAAATATATGTTAGGAGAATAATACAAATGTAATAAAATACCATAAACAAGTGTGTAATGATTCTAGTGGGGGGAATACACACACACACACACACACACACACCTTGGGGATAAATATATATATATATATATATATATATATATATATATATATATATATATATATATGAACCTTCTGCTGACAGGAGATAGTTCTATCAAAAAGAAAAGAGTTTCTTGATGTTAGAATTCCCCAGTAGAGTTACCCAAGCCTTTCCATGGTTATTCTACTCAAATATTTATCCTTGCTTAAATTACTTAACACACAGGACTATCAATGATACACATGTTAGTTTCCCACTGCTCCAATGAGTCTAAAATATTCATAATTTTTGTCTCACTTTTGCCATCATTTTGCTCATATCTTCTCTCATCCTTCAAAGTTTACATCAAGTGTTACTTTTTCCATAATTCCTTAAAACAAATCAGAAGGTAATAGATTTATATCTTCTTTTTTTGTTGTTTGTTTTTTAATTGATTTTATTATTTTTAAATACACTACAACAGTGGAATTCATTACAATCTTTATTATGCATATAAAGCACAATTTTTTGTATCTGTATATAAAGTATGTTCACGTCAATTTATGCCATTATACATGTACTTTTTTTTGCATTACAGTTCTTAATATATATATATATATATATATATATATATATATATACCACAATTTTTCATATCTCTGTTTGTATATAAGGTGTGTTGATACCCAATTCAAGTCTTCATACATGTACTTTGTATAATAATGGCCATCACATTCTACCATCCTTGCTAATCCCCTTCCCCCTCCCTTTCCCTCCCACCCCTCTTCTCTATCTAGAATTAATCTAATCCTCCCATGCACTCCCTCCCTACCCCACTTAATGACCAAAATGCCAACTGGGCAACTATAATGTTTTGAATTGTATATTAAATCTTTGTCCCATTTCCTGACATGTATCTCCTAAAATGCTTGGAATCTCTAGAGTAATAAGAGTGGTTTTTGCATGCTAATGAAATGACTGGTATCTGGAGCCTCCATCTCTACACAATGGAGGCTGGTCACCACAAAGGACGAAGGCATGATTACACAGTTGGGAATTTCTGTCCCATTGCCCAACCTCCAAGGATCATAGAGGACCTGAAGGTTAAGTTCTTCACTAATGGTCAGTGGATTTAGTCAATCATGTAAAAGTAACAAAACGTCAATAAAAAATAAAATAAAACAAAACAGAAGAACTAAGTTCAGGTAGCTTTGAGATAGGTGAGCATGTGGAAGTTCTCAGAGGGTGGCACATCTGGAGCAGTAGTGAAAGCTCTGTGCCCCTTCTCTTGTACCTTGCCCTTCTCTTGTACCTTGCCCTATGTGTGCCTTCCACCTGGCTGTTCAGCTGTATCCTTTGTAATGTCCTTTATATCAAACTGGAAAATATAAGTAAAATATTTCCAAGTTCTGTGAACCAATCTAGCAAGTTAATCAAACTCAAGGAGGGATGAGGAAACCCTCAATTTATTTCAGGTAGGTTGGAAACACAGGTCCCAGGTGATCGGTGTTCTGAAGTTAAGGTGGATTCTGGGCCTGAGCCCTCAACCTGTGGGGTTGATGGTGGCAGAATTGAATTAAGTTGGAGGACACCCAGCTGCTTTCCGATGGAGCATTGCTTGGTAGATATGTAGGGAAAACTTACATACATTTGGGATCAAAAGTGTTGATTTAGTATGTAAGACAGAAGAGTGGAAAAATGTGTTTTGGGTTTTTCCTATATCCTATTAGGAAATGTTTTGCTCCTTCTTTGTATTATCTCTCAGTTATAACTATAGGATGCAGGTTATTGAATTTTGTTTTATATGTTTTAATATAATTCTTTAAATTTCAGTACAAGCTTCTAGAAGGAAGTATTTACACTGTATCGTTTCTGTCATATATCAGTTTTGTATACCTCCAAAGGACACCATTCTATTGAATTCACCTTTGAATGTGACTTCTACAATGTAGAATGAACAACTTTGCATTTCTATTGTGATACCTGGTTTTGTATCTGGCTGTTCAATAAATGTGCACCAATTAATTTTGGATTAAATTATATTCTTCTTTAAAATTCATGGAAATTAAATAACAGAAATGTGAATATTTTGTTCAGCAGACGCTCGTGGTCTTAGTCTCCGGTCTCTCCGCCCGCCCCTCCCCCGCCCACCGCGGTCACCTGGGAAACCGGCCGCGATAGCCGGCCGACTTGAAGCTGGTTTCATGGCAGCGGCGAAGAAAGCAGTTTTGGCATTGCAATGCCAATCAAAATCCCAACGGCATTTCTTGTAGAAATAGAGAAAGCAATCATGAAATTCATATGGAAAAACAAAAGACCCAGAATAGCAAAAACAATGCTAAGCAGGAAGTGTGAATCAGGCGGTATAGCGATACCAGACTTCAAACTATACTACAGAGCAATAGTAACAAAAACAGCATGGTACTGGTACCAAAACAGGCGGGTGGACCAATGGTACAGAATAGAGGACACAGAAACCAATCCACAAAACTACAACTACCTTATATTTGATAAAGGGGCTAAAAGCATGCAATGGAGGGAGGATAGCATCTTCAACAAATGGTGCTGGGAAAACTGGAAATCCATATGCAACAAAATGAAACTGAATCCCTTTCTCTCGCCATGCACAAAAGTTAATTCAAAATGGATCAAGGAGCTTGATATCAAATCAGAGACACGCCGTCTGATAGAAGAAAAAGTTGGCTACGATCTACATACTGTGGGGTCGGGCTCCAAATTCCTCAATAGGACACCCATAGCACAAAAGTTAATAACTAGAATCAACAAATGGGACTTACTCAAACTAAAAAGTTTTTTCTCGGCAAAAGATACAATAAGAGAGGTAAATAGAGTGCCTACATCCTGGGAACAAATCTTTACTCCTCACACTTCAGATAGAGCCCTAATATCGAGAGTATACAAAGAACTCAAAAAATTAGACAATAAGAGAACAAACAACCCAATCAACAAATGGGCCAAGGACCTGAACAGACACTTCTCAGAGGAGGACATACAATCAATCAACAAGTACATGAAAAAATGCTCACCATCTCTAGCAGTCAGAGAAATGCAAATCAAAACCACCCTAAAATACCATCTCACTCCAGTTAGATTGGCAGCCATTATGAAGTCAAACAACAACAAGTGCTGGCGAGGATGTGGGGAAAAGGGTACACTTGTACATTGCTGGTGGGACTGCAGATTGGTGCAGCCAATTTGGAAAGCAGTATGGAGATTTCTTGGAAAGCTGGGAATGGAGCCACCATTTGACCCAGCTATTCCCCTTCTTGGTCTATTCCCTAAAGACCTAAAAAGAGCATGCTACAAGGACACTGCTACATCGATGTTCATAGCAGCACAATTCACAATAGCTAGACTGTGGAACCAACCTAGATGCCCTTCAATGGATGAATGGATAAAAAAAATGTGGCATTTATACACAATGGAGTATTACTCTGCATTAAAAAATGACAAAATCATAGAATTTACAGGGAAATGGATGGCATTAGAGCAGATTATGCTAAGTGAAGCTAGCCAATCCCTAAAAAACAAATGCCAAATGTCTTCTTTGATATAAGGAGAGTAACTAAGAACAGAGTAGGGTCGAAGAGCATGAGAAGAAGATTAACATTAAACAGGGATGAGAGGTGGGAGGGAAAGGGAGAGAGAAGGGAAAATGCATGGAAATGGAAGGAGACCCTCAGAGTTATACAAAAGTACATACAAGAGGAAGTGAGGGGAAGGGGAAAAATAATATAAGGGGGACAAACGAATGTCAGTAGAGGGAGCAGAGAGAGAAGAGGGGAGGGGAGAGGGGATAGTAGAGGATAGGAAAGGCAGCAGAATACAACAGACACTAGTATGGCAATATGTAAATCAATGGATGTGTAACTGATGTGATTCTGCAATCTGTATATGGGGTAAAAATGGGAGCTCATAACCCACTTGAATCAAATTGTGAAATATGATATATCAAGAACTATGTAATGTTTTGAACAGCCAACAATAAAAAATTAAAAAAAAAAAAAAAAGAAAGCAGTTTTGGGGCCGTTGGTGGGGGCAGTGGACCAGGGTACCAGCTCGACACGCTTTTTGGTTTTCAATTCAAAAACAGCTGAACTACTTAGTCATCATCAAGTAGAAATAAAACAGGAGTTCCCAAGAGAAGGATGAGTGGAACAAGATCCTAAGGAAATTCTGCAGTCTGTCTATGAATGCATAGAGAAAACATGTGAGAAACTTGGACAGCTCAATATTGATATTTCCAACATAAAAGCTATTGGCGTCAGCAACCAGAGGGAAACCACTGTAGTCTGGGACAAGTTAACAGGAGAGCCTCTCTACAATGCTGTGGTGTGGCTTGATCTAAGAACCCAGTCTACCGTTGAAAATCTTTATAAAAGAATTCCAGGAAATAATAACTTTGTCAAGTCCAAGACAGGCCTTCCACTTAGCACTTACTTCAGTGCAGTGAAACTTCGTTGGCTCCTTGACAATGTGAGAAAAGTTCAAAAGGCTGTTGAAGAAAATAGAGCTCTTTTGGGGACCATTGATTCATGGCTTATTTGGAGTTTGACAGGAGGAGTCAATGGAGGCGTCCACTGTACTGATGTAACGAATGCAAGTAGGACAATGCTTTTCAACATTCATTCTTTGGAATGGGATAAAGAGCTCTGCAATTTTTTTGGAATTCCAATGGAAATTCTTCCCAATGTTCGGAGTTCTTCTGAGATCTATGGCCTAATGAAAGCTGGGGCCTTGGAAGGTGTGCCAATATCTGGGTGTCTGGGGGACCAGTCTGCTGCTTTGGTGGGACAAATGTGTTTCCAGGATGGACAAGCCAAAAACACGTATGGTACAGGATGTTTCTTACTATGTAATACAGGCCATAAGTGTGTATTTTCTGAACATGGCCTTCTGACCACAGTGGCTTACAAACTTGGCAGAGACAAACCAGTATATTATGCATTGGAAGGTTCTGTAGCTATAGCTGGAGCTGTTATTCGCTGGCTACGAGACAATCTTGGTATTATCAAGTCCTCAGAGGAAATTGAAAAACTCGCTAAAGAAGTAGGTACTTCTTATGGCTGCTACTTTGTTCTGGCATTTTCAGGGTTATATGCACCTTATTGGGAACCTAGTGCAAGAGGGATAATCTGTGGACTTACTCAATTCACCAATAAATGCCATATCGCTTTTGCTGCACTAGAAGCTGTTTGTTTTCAAACCCGAGAGATTTTGGATGCCATGAATCGCGACTGTGGAATCCACTCAGCCATTTGCAGGTAGATGGAGGAATGACCAGCAACAAAATTCTTATGCAGCTGCAAGCGGACATCCTGTATATTCCAGTAGTGAAGCCCTCCATGCCTGAAACAACTGCACTCGGTGCTGCAATGGCAGCAGGGGCTGCAGAAGGAGTTGGCGTTTGGAGTCTTGAACCTGAGGATTTGTCAGCTGTCATGATAGAGCGGTTTGAACCTCAGATCAATGCTGAGGAAAGTGAAATTCGTTATTCTACGTGGAAGAAAGCTGTGATGAAGTCAATGGGTTGGGTTACAACTCAGTCTCCGGAAAGTGGTGACCCTAGTATCTTCCGTAGTCTGCCCTTGGGCATTTTTATAGTGAGTAGCATGGTAATGTTAATCGGAGCAAGGTACATCTCAGGTATCCCATAAATAATACCAACTCATGGATTCCCAAGATGCAAGCTTTTTATGTAATGAGAGAATCCAGCAATTCTGTCTCTTAATGTGATGACACTATTCATAGACTCTGATTTTATTTATAAGCCACTTGCTGCATGATCCTCCAAGTAGACCTGTGGCTTGAGATAAAGAAAATGCCGCAGAAAGAATGCTACAGAAATATTTGGTGTGTTTTTTAACACTGACAGTTAAGGTTGGGCCAGCTACATTTGGGGCTGACCCCCTCCATTGTCATAACATCCTGCCCCTTTCCCTCTAAGATTTAGGAAGAATTCAGATCCTATCCATTGGAGTCTTTCATCAAACATATTCAGATTCTAACGGACCAGGATTTTGATTATCTGCACCTTACATGCCTGATTAAGGGGTTAATACTAACCTGTTAAAAAGAGTGATTTTTTTGGTTTGCCAAAAGTTTTCTTTTCTATATATTAGAAAACCACATCTTCATTGAATGTTTAAATGTAAAATTCTACTAAAATTATTAAGACAACAATTTAGTATCTCATAGTTTGGATATTTTTCTGAAAAGTATTTGCCAAAACTGAAATGCTTCAGTATTTTACATTGTCTGACTAATTAGAGTGACTTTTTGTCTGGATCTTATAGGAAAGGATGTTTTCTTTTTCTTATTTCTTCCATCTCTCCTTTTTATATTTTTTTACTTTATATGTATAACATACATGCCTATATATTTTATATACTACTGGTAGCCCATTTATAAATTTAGGAGCACATTGTATTTAGTAGGTTAACATGGCTGGTTTTAAGTGGACTACTATGTATATAAATAGTTTGGGGGAAACAGCTGTATACATGTTTGGGCAACGGTTATGCATATTATTTAACCAAGAGAAATTTTTCTTAAAGAGCCAATATTTAAAATTTAAGTATATCTCCTATGTCAATAAAAGAAAATGTACTTTAAAAAAAAAGAAATGTGAATATTTTAAGTTCAAAAAGTTTAATGAGAACACATTAAATACTATAGAAAGTTAGTTCATGATTTTCTCATGTGCTTCACAGAAAAAAATTCATACATAAAACAAACAAACATCAAACCTCTTTTTAAAAAAATCGATTTTACAAAACTTCCTATAGAAACAACCATCTCATCAATACAGTTACATGCATGACCTAAATGGGAACTTTTACTAATGTGTCATTTACATAGGAGTCAGTTTATATTTTTCTCCATCCCAATATGCAAAATTAGCAGTATTAGTTGAATAATCACAGATTGGGGAGATTTGATAATAGGTAGGGTAAAGGCATAGGTGGAAGTAATATGGCACTTCAAAACTCATCATGAGGGCTGGGGATGTGGCTCAAGTGGTAGCGCCCTTGCCTAGCATGCATGAGGCACTGGGTTTGATTCTCAGCACCACATAAAAACAAAATAAAGATATTGTATCCACTTAAAACTAAAAAATAAATATTAAAAAAACTCATCATGACCCTAGAAAAAAGATTTTATTTTCCATTTAAAATCATTAATGTCAAATATTAACCAACAATTTGGCTAATGTATTTGGAATAAAGTTGGTTTTCTTTGCAAAACTCTAAACTGGAGGGATTTTGCCTCCCAAGGAGACATTTACAACACCTGAGACAACCTGTTTGTCACAAATGTGCCCGTTGTAGTGGTGCTACTGGTATCTAGTATGTATAGGTTCTGGATGCTGAAAAGTGTCCTAAAATTCAGTCCTTCCCCCCAACATCAGGATTTGACTGGCTCCCAATGTCAACACAACTGAGATCAAGAAACCCCACTCTAAATTAATCAAAAGAAATATTTCCAAACCTGCTTGTCTCTCTTTTTCGGGTACCAAAAAAGAGGCTCATCTATGAATAAAGTGCGGGGAAAATGTGTTGTCTTTTCTTGTCTAGAAGAGGATCAGAGTGGAGGATAAAAAAACATCAAGAGGCCTAAGATTCATGGAGAGTCTCCATTTTTGGAAGAGTTCTGTGCTCCAAGAGCACAGTAGGGCCATTAGGGACAGTCCTGTCTGCATCAGCACCCCTGCAGTCCATGTGCAGAACATGACCAGAGGAAGCCCTGAGAAGCCTGTTAAAGACCTCCTTCCTTAACACTTGAAAGAACAGGCCAGCTCTTTACTATGCCCCACATATGATCTGACCCCTGGTTACTGCCTCTGACCACACTCTCTCCCTGAACTTCAGCCACCCTGGCCTAAGTGCTCTTCCTACAAACACACCCCAGGCTCTCCTCTTCCTCCTGGCCTTCTCTCTGCCTGGACCATCCCTCCAAAAGCATTCCTGTGGTGTCTTCTCTTGCTGTCTCACTGTCATTCAGGGCTCTGCTCCAATGTCAGGCACATTCATAAAATAGTAGTTACTGCCACTTGTCTATACTTCTTGTGTTTTATTTCCTCTAGAGTGCTTTTCATTACTTCAGTTTTTATCATTATTTGGTTGTTATCTGTCTCACCCCACCATCACTACCCCAAATAAGTAGCACGTTTATTCAACTTTCCTGTGTCTTCAGCACGTAGAATAGTGCCTATAAAATGGTAATTTCTTCATAAACATTTGTTAAAATAATCAATACATGAATGAATCACATTTAAGCCTTCTAGATTAATAAATGAGTCTCCCTTATGTATTTATATGCTTACTTTCTACATTTTTTGCACAGTTTGAGGAAAAGATTAGAGCTAATTTAGAAGAATGAAGCCTCTGACTAGAAAGATTGAAACAACAAACACTCGGCAAAAATGCTTAAGTATTTCTACTGAGACTTTTAAAATTTATAAATGAATCAAATTTGTAAATGTTTATTTTCATGGACAGGGGTTCCATCTCATATGATATACTCTGCAGATGTCACTTAAGGAAACTCTCGTACATAAAGATAAATGGGAGTTTAAAAAATTTAAGAGAGAAAATTATATGATGAAACAGAGAAAATATGGGAGTCTGGATAAAAGCAATATTTTAGAGTAATTAGGAAACTGGATTTTGGAAAAAAATCTGTGTTCAAATCTTGCTCTTCTTAAGTTGTAATTCTCATAAGAGGATCCTAGAATATGGTTGGTGTGTTAAGTGTCCCCAGAGGATACCAATAGAGGAAGCAGGAAGGACAGAAGCCACATCAGAAGCATTACCAGCAAAGCCTTGATGACTTTCTGCTACCCTTCCTGCAAGCTCTGGAGCATGAACTAGGCCAAGTGAGCTGTGTTCTTATACTTCTGCACAGGCTGGGCTGTCACTGGCTATGGACCACCCTGGGATGACACTCTTAGTCGCCTGCAGAGCTTGGTGTCTGAACATAGCAGCTCTTCTGAGTCAAAAGGAATAAGCAGAGCAGAAGCTGACTTGTGGGCAACCTGAATCAATCAAGATGATATGAAGACGTAGCTTTGACAGCAACTACTACTCTGGTTTTTAATGGTGGTCCCTAATTTACCAATTGCCTTTATACTTCATTTAATGAATTAATGCTGCTCCACCAGTGTAAAAGACTAAATAAAATAGAAATTTTAAGAATCACTGCTGCACTAACCCAACACTGACTATTCTTTTACCACAACATTGATTTTTCACAGAAGGTTGATAACATGTCCTCTGTCCTGAGCTGAGGAAGCTCAAAATGCTTCACAGAAATGCAGAAGCAACATTCTGAGGCCTGCCATTTGGCACAATAAGCAGGTGGATGCTCAAGTATCAGAGTGACACTTTAATTTTGTGAAGCTAACAAGTAGTATCACAGAAACACCCTGTTCCTTACAATTGTAATCACTAGTTTTCTTAAATCTCAGAAAGCAACATATTTTTAAATTATTATTAAATTAAAGCATCCCATGTTATATTCTTTGTTTTCAAAACAAATGACATTTAAATGGCACAACTTCATTTTATTAAAGATCATTTATATCCCTAATTTCATAAGTTCATTTACTTCAGAGACTCTTCCTGTTGGCTAAGAATAAATGCATTCATTCCAATGGTACCAAAATCAGGTTAAATATATAGCACATATAAGTTTTTAACCATGTAACTAAATATACCATCTTATCAAAGAGCTTCAATTTATACTTGACTACCATTTTCAGTAACCTGCTCTTTATGACAAGGGTAGTTATAATAAATGAAAATCTTATAAGATCAAATGATTCAAAATCATTGCAAAATAATATCAACACAATTTTATTATTAATGAGTTCTATCTAAGGTATTTCTTGGAAAAGCAGAATTCATCTTTTCCGATTAAAATTTCTCTCAATCTATTTTAGTGTGAGGCTTATGTGTTGATACATATTAGAAGAAAACCACAAATGAAAATTTTCCTAAATCCTAAATAGCATGGTTTGAATATGGCAGTTTAAGGGTGTCCCCCAAACTTTGATGTTTTGGTAGCTTGGTTCCAGTGTGATATTGTGGGAGGTAGTGGGACTTCTAAGGTGGGGGGACCTAGTGGAGGCCCTTAAGTCATTGAGTGAGTTGCCCTCAGAAATGAATAATGTAGTTGTCATGAGACTCCAAAGCTGTCATAAGGGTAAGCTGTTATAAAACAAACACAAATCTTCAATTGTTTGCTGGCTTTGTGTTTTGAAGTATGATTTCATCCTCCAGTAAAAGTTTCCATCATCCATCTTGGGGCCTCTGCCAAAACTGACATTAGACTGGACTTACAGCCTCCAAAACTACAAGCTAAACAGAGTTCTCTTCTTTATAAAGTTAGCCTCCCTCCAGTATTTTGTTCCAGTAATGAAAAGTGAAATGCAGACCAATGATTAAAATTGATGAAATAAGGAACAGAACGCCTAAGGCAGCAGCTGAAGTGAAAATATTTATTATCTTTGCACTAGAGTTTCAGTGATTATTTCTGCTCCAACAGGAGCTGAGGGGGAAAGGTGAAGTTTATGACATACCCTCATTTCATGCATAAAAGACAAGTTGATAGGTAGCTTAAGATTGGGTAACCCATGTTTATGGATTGAGTAGCCATCGTGAAGATACATCATTAGGACATACTCTGGTCATCTTCATCTTTTTTTTTCAGACTATCAGGAATAGAGAAACAAAAGGGTGAACAGACATCCAACCTATAATAATATATTTATCCATTTTCAAAAAATATAAGTCTCCCTGAATTGGTCAGTTATTGCCACTATAATGCTACAAAACATATAACCACACTGTCTCAGTAACATATAAAAATAAGCATTATGTTTTAAAATTAATTTAATTAAGTTGATCTAAGGTAAGCTTCCCTGGGCAACTCTTGTCTGGGCTTGCTGCAGTGGCTGTGGCTGCTGTACTTCTCAGTGCACATCTGTGAGAAGCTCTGCCTCTCTCATTCTTCTTGTCTCAACAGGCTGGCCAAGATGTGGATTCTCATCATGATTGCAAATGCTCAAGAAAGCAAGCAGAAATACAGAACACCCTTTTAGATCACTGAAATTGGCACACTATTACTCCAGCCCACAGTCCACCAGCTGATACCAGTCAATGCCCTAAGATCAAAGTCAAAAGAGGTCCCCTTTGCACACAGTGACGTCATGAGAACAGTTGACTTGCAGGAAGGGATGGAGAACAAAGTCAATAATGAAAAGGACTCCACTTTGCTGTTTTTCAAGTCTGAAAATTCTCCAGCTATAAGCATTTATGTATATCAAGAAATGGCACCTTCTTAATTGAAAGACAGAGAGAGAGAGAGAGAGAGAGAGAGAGAGAGAGAGAGAGAGATTGGAATAAAGACCTTAATAGCAAACCTACAATAGTTTTCCAATTTCAACTTAGTTTTTTTTTTTTGACAAAATTATCCTCCAAATAAATAAATATGTGTGTGCATGTGCTAGTTTGTGTGTGTGTGTGTGTGTGT